TGACACACACTCTTAAACAGTCTTAACAGTGTCCTCTATCATTCTGCTGAATAACATCAGGTATTCATATGGAGGGATACTTGAGCAAGGGGCTACTGAAATACAGCTCTCAGAGAAGCGTGCAGAACACTTCATATTATGAGCTTTAAGGGTTCGGATGCTGCTTAATGGATTTTATGAGAATGCACACTGAATAGCCTGTGCTGTTATGATACATGCCTTACTAGACATGGTGGCTGTGGAATGTGATAAGATTGCACTCACCTTCATAAGACTGGTGGGGAGCATAGTAAATATGTAAAGCTGATTTTTATTTGTGCTAACGACCATCGCTTCCTCCGATGGGCTGAAGCATATACATATAATGTTCTGTCTGCCTGACTGTTTTGGCTCACCGCTGAACAGGTCCTGAGGAAGCTGCACAAGAAATGCATCCCATGGGATATTCCAGGTCTCCATGTTTTAGTAGCAGGCGTGCACACACACACACATACACATGCTTTTGCTGCAATTCTACTCTAATAAGCATACACATAATATCAGGAAGACGACTAGGATATTTAATAGAATGTAACTACTGCAAGGCAGGGAATAGAGGACAAGATAACCCAACTATCTGTAGCATTACAGCTGAAAAAAGTATCAGAGGACATTTCAGTAGTAATCTTAAGTATGGCATTAAACAAAAATGAAAATAGTAGCAGAAAAACAAGAAAAAAAATGTCAAATGTCAGAATGAAAACTGTGATCTCAGAATGACAGTTCTTTGCAGTGTATCATTCAGGCTGCTAAAAGTCTTATTATGAGATCTTGTGCGTAGGTAAGATCTGACCTTTTAGGCCTAGAGTATGAAGGCTTTACCAGGTCATCAGAATGAAATGTTCTTCTCCAGAAACTGCATTAAGTCAATACATGCAGCTTTCTATAGAACAGTTAGAAATCTTACTAGATTACTTAAGACTGCACAAGTTTCACGACAGCCATAATAAATATCTAGGGAAGAAAAGCTATGCCTTGGAAAAAAACAAGTGGCCTAGTTCTTAAAAATTGATATAGACTACTTCTGAGCTCCAAAGATACAAGTTTCTTAAAGGTTTCCTGAAGTTTAGCAGCCTCAAAGAACATTTTATATGTGGGAACATGCAGAGCCACCTTGCAAAAGGACATCTGTCACTGACTTTCAGTGTGACCTCCGGCAACTCCCTTCCTTTCGACAACATCAGGACAGTTAGCTAATGCTTACAATGTAATTTAGAGATGTGCTAAAAATTATTATTAATAACTGAACCAGAAGCACCCCCACCTCCCCAAACAGCCCTCTGCTACATAACTGCTTGGAAAAGCTTTTTTCTCCCTACCCATATTTCTTGACTCTCCTTGTAGACTTCCTTTCCTTTAGTCTTCTCAAACAGAAAAACAACTCCTGGGCTAGAAGAACACGCAAAGCCTTTGGAATAAGCTGCAACTGCAAATATTTGAGGCAAAGAATCCTGTTGGGAGCCATTATCTTCATAGGTCAGTCCGCGAGAGACATCAGAAGAACTGCAAGCAGGAAATGTATACAGACTTAAGAATAAAGAAGGACAAACCAAAAAAATGTTTATCAGCAACAACAAAAATATTAGAAACCATTTATAAACTCGACAAGAAGGAAATAAGTGAATGGCCTGCAACTAATCTGCATGCATAAGCATGAAACTATTAGTAATAGTATTTAACAAAGATTTACCTCTTGTATTCTTTTGTTACTGCATCTTCTAGTTCCCTGGGGTTTTTTTTGTACTCTACACGTGTCTCCCAGTGCAGCTTTCCAGATTCAAACAAGGTGAGTTTTCCTGTGTCAGTGCCACATATAACTTCCTCCTCAGACAGCCAGGCATGGCACAAGTAGTTTTGCGGCTCCCCCTTTTGTAAATTTATCTGCTTCAAAGTTCCTTCACTGTACTTAAAAAGTTTAAAAAAGCCATTTCCAGTGATACAAACCTGGGCGTTGTCTTGAGGACTAAAGCTCACCTATGGAACAAAAGAGAAAGAAATTATTTTACACAACCATGTTCTCAAATAAGCAATATTATACCTGTTCTGAAGACTTTCAATACCAGATAGGAAAACAAACTGTTCAGCCTGAAAAAGAGAAGGCTCCGGGGAGATCTTATAGTGGCCTTCCAATACCTGAAGGGGGCCTACAAGAAAGCTGGGAAAGGACTTTTCATAAGGACAACTGATGACAAAACGAGGGGAAATGGGTTTAAACTGAAGGAGGGGAGGTTTAGATTAGATATTAGGAAGAAGTTTTTCTCTTTGAGGGTGTTCAGACACTGTAACATGTTGCCCAAGGAAGTTGTAGATGTCCCCTCCCTGGAAGTGTTCAAGGCCAGGTTGGATGAGGCTTTGAGCAACCTGGTCTAGTGAAAGGTGTCCCTGCTGATGGCAGGGGGGTTGGAACTAGATGATCTTTGAGGTCCCTTCCAATCCAAACCATTCCATGATTCTATGATTTTATAAGAAGGTTCATAGAAACATATAGGAATACAGAAAAGACTAAGCAATAACTATCATAACTACATATTACAGTTTTCTCCCTTTCAAAACTGTGTATATCAATTTTACATGATGCTACAAATACATTAACTCTATTAAGCTGTTATCTGAATCACAGTGCAATACCAAAGAGAAGTTGTCTCTGCCCTTCAGGATTACATGACAAAAGTAAGGCAAAAATACATCTTTACTGTTGATTAGCAACTTTTTCTGGTAGCAAGCTTCCTGGAAAGTGGGACCATTTGCTCTTAAGGGACAGGAATAAATTCTGTATTTCTGTATTTCAGGGAAACCTTGCCCATTATATATATTAATTCACATAATTAGGTGTTTATTGGTGAAAACAGTGAAATAGCCATCCCAATACCAAACATGAGGGATAGCTGGAGCAGTTAGACCTCATTTTTCATGCTTAATGAGACTTTAGACAGCAGTTGTCTTTACAGTCACTCTCCTCTCTTTAGGAATTGAGCTAATGAAATCAGTAGTTCACCCAACCTCTGCTTGTGCTGTACCCCAGAAAAAAATGGCAGATAGGGTCCAACCAACCCATGTGTCTGAAAGCCTCTTATCTTCCTGCAAGAAAGATATTAACAAGGGCACCCAAAGCAGGATGCAGGAATTGTTTGAGTGCCATCAGCCTGCTCCGAGCCACTCTTCCTGGGCTACTCCTCTGATCTGCACATAGAACAGACTGCAGGAAGGAAAAGGTGTATGAGCATGCTGAGAGCCTCCAAGGTGTGTGTTACACCTACTGAGCGCAGCCAATGTACTTAATGAGTGTTTCTGCAGGGACACAAGGGACACATTGCACACACACTGGCCACGTGTACTGGCCCCATACCAGAGACCTCATGTGATATAAGAGATATGGCCATGAGAATGTGCATTACAAGTCAAAGCAAAAATCCATTTAGCCCAGTGTCCTGTTGCTGAGGAAGGCAACAGCAGGTGCCAAGAAAGGCCACAGAAACTCTATGAAATCCACAGTGTGGAGCCCTCTCCCCCCTCTCTTGCCCAGGACAGAGGCACATGGCCGCAGGGAAGCGCACCCGCACACATACCCTGCAGACGGAGCTTGGGTGCTACCTGGCACCCAGTACTTGCTGAACTGAAGTTGGATCCTTTCACTCACCATTTTGATCCAGCGCAACAGGCTCCCGCGGAACCGGTCATTTGTGAATCAAAATGTTAAAAGCGGGGTGCGGAGACCCCTGCCCAGCTCAGTTCGGGAGCCAGGCGTGTGCACCCCCGCACCCTGCCCAGGCCCGGGGCG